GTGTCGGTCGCTCAAATGGCGGGTCGCTCAAGTGTTGGGGCGGTCAAGTGTCGGTCGCTCAAGTGTCGGGCGCTCAAACGTCGGTTAATCCATTTCTGGTCTCATTCGATAGTGCAGATTGAGATGTATACGAGAAAACGTTTTTAGACCACCAGACCGAAGTCTGACAGAGAAATTCGAAAATCACCTGTAATATGGCTTTTCCCCCTGTATCCGATGAAAGTGTGCGGAAAACGGTTTTGGCCTTACATGCGACTTCGCTTCAGGAAAGCATTTTGGAAATGCTTGTTTGGAAGCAAAATCGTGAAATAGTTTTTGTGTCAACAGTTGATCGGGCAGAAGAAACTCAAATTTTTTCCATTAGATCTCAAGTGAGAAAGTTAAAACTTCTTTCTGTAGGCATATCTCGATGCAATCTATCGAACGAGACCAAACTTAAGGTTTCTTCGTGAAAAATAAATATTTTACGGAAAAATAGCAGATTTGTTTGTGAAGTGCTTGTGACCTTCAGCTATTGATGCAGCTTTGTGCAATCACAGCATTTTTCTCTACCTATCGATATTCCTCCTACTCCTGCGGTAAAAACTACTGTTTATTAGCAACCCAAAACAAAAAAGCATCGCGGATCCTCTATGTATCGTATACACTCGAAGACATAAAACGTCTTCTTCATTGCGTCTCTTTCCAGTTCAAAGCTCTCAAAAAGAGTACATGGAAACACGAGATGCATTGCATTTTCTAGGCGTCGCTTTTTGATGAATCAGCCTTGAGAGACACATTGAACGGTCTCAAAATGAGATACTTCATGTGTCTCCCGATGAGCCGACTTCATGTCTCAAAAAGAGTCGGTTCCTGTTTTAGAGTGTACAGTCTTGTAGCACATAATGAGCACTAACTCACAATATCAAGCGGTTACTACAACAATACGTGCAGCAAGTCGTCATACAGAACACCCAGCCGCTTATGCTATAGTAATTGTATGTGTAAGCATTGGTATACCGTTGATCATTTTTGGTGTCTTGGACTACAATAAAGTAAATAACTTTAGCACACAAGCTAGTCATTGTCGTGTCAATGAAATTGAAGCAGTACGACAGATTAGAGCAAAACTAAGCAGAGTCAATCCAGTATGGAATGTAGACATTGTTAAACCGCAAAGTAATTCAACAAAAGTCATCGTACTACGTACAAATTTAAAAATTACTGGATCTAATGGACACATGTTTGCATCATCGGCATTGGACGAAGCAAGAACACTATATGCAGTAAGTAAGTTGGACGACTGGAGGAGCATTATCCTGACTTTATTTCTACAATAGAGTAAAACACAATCGCAATTTAGTTCTTTTCTTTTAGATTGATAAAATTTATCCATGTTATCATCATAAACAACTGTTAAGTAGTGCTGGTAGTAGTGGAATAAGTTTGAAAGATCCTATTCAATGGGAAGAACCATCACGAAAAACAGCGTTTGTTTTGTTATTTATTGGTTCAGCACTGACAGTTGTCGGAATTATTTTTATATTCATTGCCTTTTTATATCATTAGAGACACATGTTCGCTATAATACCGACGATAATAACCTAACTACATATCCGGCACTGACACATTAGCGAAGCACTTTTTACAATCGATAATACCTGGGTTATATTTTTGCTTTACGAGAATTAATTTCCCCGGGTTATTTTTTTTTCATAAGAAGTTTTCTACGTAAGAGGCTTTTATCCTACAAACTTTGAAGGCACATGCTTTCCAAAGCTCTTTTCTATCAAAAAATGATGCGTAAGTTTCATTATACTTTACTCTATAAACTACGCTAGAGCAAACAGCCAGTCCATTGGCGTTAATAGGAGCGTTGTTACAAGTTGTTATGCCTAAGAATAAGGCAAAAAATCGCACAGATTGCGTACACATTAGAGAAAACTTAAAATCAAATTATAAAATTTATGGCTTCGGTATATTTAACTAACTCGATTTTCTATCTATTCTGTCCAATGTGAAAAAATACGCAGTTTTCTAATTGTAGCGTTATGATAATAATTCATCGTTTTTTTTGTGGAATTTCGTTTGCTGCAAAGATCTGTGAGATTTTTATTGTACACTTCTGCAGCAAACAAAATTCTGCAAAAAAATATCTCCAACATTCTGTAGTAGCAGTATATGAAAAATATTTCTTGTTTTTGATCATTTTCGCAACGTTTAAGATCAACTTTCGCACGCCATAATCATATCCACCATTTGACAGCATGACTTGGTAGTTACCCTGTTCGTCACGTACCTCAAAGATGCTGTGTTTCAGCCTCGACGTCTCCAATTCATGTGCTAGTCTTAGGCAAGGTATTTATCAAATCACTCGTCCGACAACATTTAATGCGTTGTAACGTACAATATACAAAATTTGAGGTAATGTAAAACGATTGATTTCGACAAAACGCTGAAGAAATTCCAGATCCAAGAAAACGGCACCGTCGAAAGTAACACTATCAAAGTGCTATTCAAGCTTCCAAGCTGACGTACTACTTTACATACAATTTATTCCAGTGCATCTACATAGTGTGAAATATGATGGAGGAAAAACGAAAAACACACACATATTGGATTCTTTAAACCGTAAACAGGCCATTAACGATTAGTTAACGGACTGTTTTAGACTGTTTTTCACATACATGATTATAGATGCTTTTGACCGTAAATAGGCCGTTAATGGCCAGTTAATGGGCCGTTTCTAGACCGTTTTTTTGGACTTTATGCTAAAGTGATTTTAGAATGATTTTTCAATGTTTCATGAGACATAGAGTACTTGGGGGTAATTAGAGACACTCTTGGAAATTTTCGTTCTGTTTTTGCCACCGTTGTTTTCTTGGCCGTTTTTGATCGGAAAAGCTTGCTATGAAACACGGTGATAGACCGAACGTTTTTCTACACGCTCACGTAAAAATCTTTTGAAAATTTCCGACCAGTTTTGAGCCAAATCCAGGAGATAATTAGTTTAAACATACCTCATTTCATAGCCCGGACTTCTCGCTATGTACCATATCGTTTTCAGATCATTATCATTTAAAGTCGTTCAGCTAATTAGCATATAATCAACAGAACTAGAAATTCTTTTTATGCTCAGGGGTAAATAGAGACACTCGTGTAATTGTGAAAACTACGGAAGATAACACCAAATTATCCGACATATGTCCCATTTCAAGGACTCATATCATCCTGTATATGCACGCTATGCCAATGTCGCAATTCAACTTGTGACTTCCACAACAATTGTTATAAGCCTCCGATAAAGAAATACTCAAAGTCGCTGAATGTCTCATTTTGTAGAGAAATGTTTGGATTACAATCGCCTATACATAGAAATATTTCGAAGTTGTCTGTAATGCTCATATTTTTGTTAGAAATCGGTTCAGATTTCTTTTCATAGCCGAGTATTCAAGAAGAAACATTTCTCTACAAAATGCGACGTTCCACGGCTCTGAGTAATTCTTTATATATAAAGAATTACTCAGAGCCGTGGAACGTCGCTATAAGTCGCCTATAGGCGACTTATAGCAATTTTCGCTGAAGCTCGAACAACAGTTTTTAACTGGTGCATGCCTACTGCTGTCCACAACTTCATATCATCTTGTATATGAGTCCTTGAAATGGGACATATGTCGAATAATTTGGTGTGATCTTGCGTAGTTTACACGATTTTCAGATGAGTCTTTTTGCATTCGATAGAGAACATGCTTATGTAAGCCATAAACAGAAGATTTTATAAAAACTGTCAGTCTTCAGTTATCATAATTAATTCTGAGTTTAATTTAGTCCATAAAACATATTTAAATTAATATCCCATGTAGTGTGAAACCAATATGATCGCAAGTTTTTCAGATCAAAAACGGCCAAGAAATAGCAAAAACCGAACAAAAATTTTCAAGAGTGTCTCTAATTACCCCCCAAGTACCCTATGTGTCATGGAACATTCGAAAATCATTCTAAAATTGATTTAGCATAAAGTTCTAAAAAACGGCCTAAAAACGGTCCGTTAACTGGCCATTAACGGCCTATTTATGGTCAAAAGCATCTCTAATCATGTATGTGAAAAACGGCGTAAAAACTATCCGTTAACTGCCCTTTAATAGGCAGTTCATGGCGAACTTCTGTGTGAATAATAAACAGTCTGGAAACATTCAGCAAACGGTCAGTAAACGGTGACCGTTAACTGACCGTTTTCTGACCATGGACGTTTTCAGACGATCTTTGGACCGTGAAACGGCCACACTAAAAACCGCAAATTAACGGCTTGTTTACTGGGCGTTTTTTTGCCGTTTTCATAACGTTAACGAGCCGTTTTTTTGTGTGACCGTTTACTGGAAGTTAACTGACCGTTAATGAGCAGTTTTTTTGGATCTGGGAATGCATTCAAATGATATTTACAAATACCTGAAAATTGAAAGAAGAATAACGCGACATCTTTCTGTTCAATGTACGAAAAGCAGTGGATACTATGGTAAAAGTCGCAAGTACCTTGTACATAGGCGGCGTAGCCACGAGGGTTGGGTAGGCTCGAGCCTACCCTAGATTGAGTCTACTGAGGCCTGGGTAAGCACGAGCTCGCGTGTAGATTTTTTTGATCCTCGATCCCATTTTGATCTAGAAAATTAGGATGCTTCAAAATCCCAATTCTTGAATTGATGTGGGTTTTAAACAGTCACTTCCTACTTCAGAAAAATTAGGAATTGTGTGATTTTGACTACCATTTATTAGGCTTTTGAATGAGATGTTGCCCGAACAGAACGGATAAAAAATGGCGGAGTCATATAGTCAAAATATCAGTGATGGCTACTTTTCGCAAATCGACGATGGTGCTCATTTTGTAAATTCTATAACTCAGTCAGAAAGTGAGCCTACCCTAGTAAGAAACCTATACATTTCTTGACAGGATCCAGGAGAAATCCGGCCAGGATCCTGCCAGAATTTAGCTGGCGTTTCCGTAGGACCCTAGGAAAATCTTACAGAATCCTACAGAAATCAGGTATACCGGAAAGCCGTAGGATTTGCTAGGATTCTGACAGGATCCTAACAAGAATGCTATGACTAAATCATAATGTAACAGGAATTATTTAGGATTCTAGTAGGAAAAGATAATTGTTGAGGAGAATTTCATAGGATTGCTAAAATGTTCATGTCTCTCGTGAAATTTCTCCATCTGTTCCCATTGTTTGACCAAAAGTTACCAAATATTTCTTTGTAACTCTAAAGCACATTTAAAAATGGCGCGTATACATTTATTACTTCAACCGGAGATTAACTATCCTTAGGGCTGAGATTAACTAGCATTTCTTGGGGCTGGGGCTTAATGCCTTCATTTTACAAGTGTATTAAAATTATTATGTGCATGCGAGATTTTGTGTATTTAAGGTAATTAATGTGTATAGTTTCAATTGTCAGATAGGTACTTGTTTATATACCTCTTTTTTATTTTATTAATAGTTTTAGTTTGATAATAAATAGTCAAAATATTGATCATTAATATGTAAATTAATAAACAAAATAACAGGAACTGATATGTTTTTGTGCAAGAGTGAGAGAAAACAGGTAATACGCTTTTGCTGTTTACTTATCAATTTTCGTTTATCAATTACTGAAGTCATTATCATTATAACGTTCAGCGATCATTTAGATTCTTTGTTTAATCGTATGAGATAGAGGCATATGTTTGAATAAGCGATAGTTGTTATACTATTGATTAAAAAAAATGAACGACTGATTTAGAACATACCGGCAAGATGTGCCACGTTTTATGTAAATATCTGAAATTATTGGGTCTAACTGTTGTTATCGAAAAATGGTAACTTTTCAACTGTGTTATAAACCTGGGATTAATTAGAAGCTTTTTATGTCTTCACTAGATAAATTCATAAACATACGCTTATGGACGTATATGTTGTAAACGTCCCATATCGTAAAGTATATTTTTTGTATACAAAAATATGGAACATTGGTAAAAAAAGTATAGAGTCTCATTTTAACGACCGCTACGGTATAACACAAAATAATAATATATAAAAAGCTTCTAATTAATCCCAAGTTTATAATAAAGTTGAAAAGTTACCATTTTTCGGTAACAACAGTTAGACCCAATAATTTCAGATACTTACATAAAACGTGACACATCTTGCCGGTATGTTCTAAATCAGTCGTTCATTTTTTTTAATCAATGGTATAACAACTATCGCTTATTCAAACTTATGCCTCTATCTCATACGATTACGTGCTAACGAACCCGACATGTACGGTGCCCGAAATTCGCAACTTACAGAAAATAATTTTTGTTGTCTTCGGTATGGTTGAATAAAACTAGTCGAGTTTTCTCTGGTTCCCCTCGGGAAGTTTAAAAAGCTAACTCTGGCTGACATCTAAGAAACAAATATGCCCTCGAAATATACCCAAAACGAGCAAGCCAGACAAGCTAGCATCCTAGTGGAACTTCTTGTACCCAAGATCTTGGCCAAGATCTTGGGTTAAGAAATGTCACAAGATCTTGGAAAAAACACCAAGAAGTC